CCTTTGACCTTCAAATCACCACCCCCTCTGGTTAACAAATAGTAAGGGGAAGGAGGATTTCCTTTCCATGTTGCAATAAGCTGTTTTTAGAAGCACAATCGTATTACTCTCTGAGATTCACAACAGATCACTTTCTTGGTAGTTCAAACATAGCTCTGAGTTTTATGTACAGTATTGAATTTGTGTTCTAATTAGACTGCGTTTACTACAAGGTAAGTTATTTATTATTACTATTCTATGTTAATAATGTTTATTACTTTGTAATTTTAGATTCCCGAATGTGTAGGTAAGCGGTTGAATGATGTGAAGGCTTCATATGTTTTTACATATAGGAATTTTCAATCCAGGGCTTCATTTCTGAGAGGAGAAGTGCCGGATCCCTCTGGAAGACCGTCAGAAAAAAGTTAAATAAATAAATAAAATGACTATTAAATAATTCAAAAATTAAATAGTTAATTAATAATTATTTAATTGGTATGAATAATTTATAATTAATTTTTTACTATTTAGTACAATAATTAAAGACTAAAGTAATTACATAATTAACATTAAATAAAATGTAAAGAGATAAATGAAAATTTAATAAGATATTTTTAATATAATTTTATTGCTAAAAATAAGATTTTCGAGAACAAATTTTGACTGAAATAATTGTTCCAGCTAATATAAAAGAAGTGCCTAAGCCTTCTTATTTAGAGCTCCAGCGCGCTCCTGCTAGCCTGTACCAGAAGCTAAGAAGTACTGGAGCTGGGCTGCGGCGCAATTTAAACTCTGATTCAAACATTCATACTTTTAGATTTATCCCTACGTGTGTAGATGTTCTGAAATTTCGGTAAAATACCACGTATATTTGTCAAATGATTACATTCGTAAGTTTAACTGAATTTCAAGTAAACGGTGAGGAAAGGGAAAAAAATACTTTTAGTATATTTGGCTTTAAAAGACCCTATTCAGACCCTATATGTATTTATATAAAATTATGTATGTGATAAATTGTGTATGTAACTTTTCGTTGTAACACACAACACATAGCTATGTTGAATATTACACGGATAAGATTGCAGAATTCAACTGGGTATTTTAATCTAATATAAATTCTGTAGATATTTTGAGATTAGAAAACAGCTGGACAGACACACAACATGACATAACGAAGGGGAAAAAAACTTTTACAGTCGTATTCCTTGATGAATGTTGTTTAGAACACATATTCTTCTTTAGACATCATCATTATTAGGCACCCTCAAAATTTGTCACATCGTTAGACAGTGGACGAAGCGAAGAAATAAGCAGCACATGCCATCACGGAGAAAGGAAGGCGGGAAAGAGAGTGCGCATATCGGAAAAAGATATTTATAGAGTTGTTAACTTTGTTTAAGTTTTTAATTGTGATCGGATAAAAATTATCTGCAATGCTACACTTACGTAAAACCAGAATGCAGCTTAATTTTCAGATAAAATAGCTTAGATTCTTATATTAGTAGTTTTAAGACAGAAAGGGGATATAGCCAAATTAAAAGGACTATTGCTAAATTAAAATTAGTTGTTACTTTTCATATTTTACATGTCGTATATATATATATATATAATTGTGTGTGTGTATATAAGTTCTCGAAATATTTCTGATTATTGGATAGAAAGACCTAAAAATGGTTACTAATTTTATTAATTTCTAAATAAATAAAATTTATGGAATAAGAAAATTTCCATACCCTTATTGTTCAAAGATTTAATTTATGCGACTTTTATGAAAACTCAAGTAAAATATTAAAACAATTAATTTTATAATAAGGGCAAAAATTAAATTTGAAAAGATAGATATATTTATTTATGCTCCAAAAATTTTCGAAAGTATGCCATGAGTTTTTCGTTGTATTTTTCATATTAAGAGCTGAGAATATAATTTCTGATCATCTTATAAAGAGTTTTATTACGTAAGTGAATCTCAGAAAGGCTTTTAGTATCAAAATGGGATTTTGCGTCACTATAAAAGTCTGAATCACTTTTCAACTTATTGCCACCAAATATTATCGCCCTAAATTATATCTAAAGAAATTAAATAATGAAGAATTGGTGTGAATGTATTCATGTTTTTCGCATTGTGAATTAACAACGGTACCTAGAACCATCAAATTTTGAATAACGTAGTCTTCCACCGGAATATGGACACGTAGAAGCCTGAATTTATTTTATTGTGTGTATTTCCTATTTTTTAAATCTTTAATGAATTTTTGAATAGCAAACTCAAGGATTTCAAAGCGAGCAATGGCAGTAATGTACGGGAAAAAGCATATTTATCTCTAGCGCATGAGACTTTCTATTGAAAATTCTGAAGATCTGCTACTTTTAAATACTTGTATGTTATTTTGTAAAACTTTAATGAATTTTTGATTAAAAAAAGCTCAACGATTTCAAAGCGGGCAGTGGCAACATTGCATGAAATAAAATATTTTCATATTCAGTGTGCGAGACTGTCCATCGGAAATTATAAAGATAAGCCGTTTTTAAATATCTTTAGCCCAAAGGAATAAAAATGCTCTCGAAATGAGTATGGGTATGTACATGGGAAAAAAAAATACTCTTTGGGCGTAATATAAAATTTGAAAGGCTTTCAGATTTTTTTTAATTAATAAGTTAATGTTGCAAAAGCCTGAAATTGTATTATATTGTATACTCATGTATTGCATTTCTATTAATGTATAAATTCATAAATATGCTGCATAATTATGTTGCAGTAAATATTATATTAAAATTTATATCATTCATTGTAGCCCACTGAGCCAAGCGGCCAGGGCCCGGTGATACCTGTTGTAGAGGTCGCCTTACAAATTATTTTAAAGCAATAGAGAACATGATATTTAACAATTAAAGTAAAGAGAGAAATCGTTAATAATAAAAAGGTTAAAAAAATTTATAAAGTCATCTTAGTAAGAAAACTGAACATTGGCACGATAAACTGAGAAAAGACTGAAAAAAGCCAAAAAATTTTTTCCAATACTTAACGTTGCATCGGGAATTCTAAACGGACATACCGCTATGCCTGCTGTTGAATTGTATATGGCGTAAGTGCGAAAAAAATTATGCTTAATAATAAAGCTAAAAAGAAAAGTGTTTTAGTAGGAGTGAGTGTAATAGCAGATTGGTAAAGTATATTTTCTTTTCATAATTTGATAATGTTAGCCAACTTATGATAAATATCAATAATTTGGGTAATTGTGTAAGAAAAGTTGTGAAAACCATCACTTGCATCCAATGATTAACTGTTAACCTTTTTATGTGTTAAATCGAAACTGAGGCGAAGTGGCTGTGTTTAATATGTAAGTACCATTAATTTTACAGGTAATACGCTGTACTCTTTTATGTACTGTAATATTTAGTTTGTGCTGAAATTATGTAGTGAAAAATATTTTCCTTAAGATAGAAATTTTTCATTGTTATAAGTTTACATTTTTTTCTTTTGTTTTGTTGTGTGTGTGTGATGAAAAGCAGCACGTTAAAAATTCTAAAACAAATATTTTTGAGTTCTTAAATTTTGTAATGGCACTAAGCATTATTTTTTTTATTTACTCGATGAATGTTCCAGAAATAAATAGTTTAATTCTGTATACTGGAGAAAAATCATTTCTGACTAGCATAAAAATTAGAATTTTGAAATAGTAGTAGAAAAATTATTAAAAATACTTTTTTTTTAACTCTAAAGCTTAAAAAAACAGGTTAGCATGAAATATTTGAACTTGTGCTATTACTAAATTCATACTTATGATCATTATGTAAATACAATCGTTCTTATGTAAATAAATGTTACAAGATGTCTTAGATCTCTGCTTTTTAAATTCTATCTATTAATATGGGAATTAGATTATTTCACTATAATAAATAAATAAGTTTTAATAAGTGCATTATCAGCGTCAATATGTTTGTTTTCTGTAACATATACATTGAACATTTTATTTAAATAATATATCCCCTTCAATTTTTCATCAATAATGTGTGCATATATTTTACTTATGATGAAAAGAAATTAACATTTAAAAATGAATTGTAGACAGTAGAGGTAAAATGACAGTTCTGAGCCAGGGAGCGGGAGTTGAGGGAGCTCCCGAGAAGGAATGCTCAGCCGTGGGAGAGATGCTTATCTAAAAATGGGGAGAGGGAGCCTTATCAGGAAGTAGATGCGAGTAGAGTAGTTGCTATTTATTTACATTTATGTCACAGAAAATGGACGTGTGCTGAGGTTTTATTAATTAGGTGATTTAGGCATTGAGTAGTTATATGATAATGTGTGAACTTACTTATATTGAGTTCTTAAAAACGTATATGAAGTAGGTGTTTTAACTGAGTGATACAGTTCATCTCGTTAAACAGATATATAATAAAATGTTTTCTTCACAGTCTTTGGAAAATAATTATTTTGTTACTTGCCTAAGGTTGAATGTCTATAATACTGTTACATATAATGGGTTTCATACAGACATTTTAGACCAAATCATAAGTTTATTAAAATACAAATCATATTGAGTACTATTTTTTAATTTGATGATTTAGACATATCCATGTGATCACTTACTTACTTATATTGAGTTCTTAAAAACATATATCAAGTAGGTGTTTGAATTTCTTTAAATAGAAATGGCTATACAATAAAATGTTTCCTTCACAGTATAACCTTTAAGATAATTATGTTCTTACTTGTATTTATTCTATGACTGAATATCTACAAAACTGCTACATACAATAAGTTTGATATAGACAATAAAGACAACTTTTAAATCAAATAATTAATTTATTAAAATGCAAACAATATTCAGTATCATAAAAGACATTTGATAAATGATATAAAATAATATCAGGTATAAAATAAAGATGACATGAAATGATTATAAAAGGACACTGAAGATGAACTATATACAAATAATAAAAATATTATCAAATTTGATCTATACCATAATGTCCATATGCTAAACTATTCACTCCGTCATTTAATAAAAATCGTTTATCATCTAATGGGATAAACTCACTTTTCGCAATAAAATCGTGCTAAGGTGATGCTTACGACTTTCAATTTTGATCATATTGTGCCTATGCAGCTTTTTTCCGAAAAGACAGTTCCTGTAATCTTCATGTTTTAAGTCACGCTGAATTACAGGTTTTAAAACCCCTTTTGCAGTCTTCTTTTCGAATAATTCAGTTTTCAGAGAGTACATTTTGCTCTTTAACCCAATAAATTCAATGGCAATATTCCCGTTTAGTTCATCTTTCATCTTTCCGATGACCTTTTTATTTGCCTGGCTGTGTAAAGGGTGCTCTGTAGGGTAATCGGACGTATCATACATATGCAAATCTTTTAGCATATCATGGTAGAAATCTTGACATGAGATTTCATAACACAGAGAATCAGTATCTGTAAAAAGAAGATGGACATTTTTTCCATACTTCATCTTCATGAAATCATAGTGAAATTGATACATAAGTGTTTTAGAAATATCTAAAATGGAGAATCTAGCATATACAGGCCGATTCAAAGTTAACGTCTTGATTTGCATTTTTACAGCTACTAAATCATTGTTAAAAATGGAAAATGATTGAAATGCAGGAGAAGCGATGCATTTCTTAGCTATTTTTTCATCATTTACAAGTCTAACATCGATACGAGCTCTTAAGTTCTCCATAGTCTTACCAAAAACAGCATTGTTCATCAACTTGAAAAAGTCTCTTTCAAAAGCTGAGCTGCAATTCTTCCTTTGATTGGTATTAAATTCTATATATGGTTTTAACCAAGGTGACTGCTCAAACATGAGAATTTTATGCACCTTTCTTAACTTTAAACCTAATTTAAGATAGAGTTTTAAGTTTCTGTAATGCACTATATAATGTTCCTTATCATTTAAATTAGGTATAAGCTTTGTACCCCCCATTAATGATTGATTTATAGCTTTCATATTTTTTTTTTTTTTCAAATAAGGCGAAAATAATGTCTCATTTAATGTTACTTTTTCAGGAGCTAGAGGGAATTCGTTGTGCAGATCATGTAAATTTTTAGGATAAGCTTAGATCACACTCGAAAATGTATCCCACAGAGCCCTCATCTTCTATTTCTAATATGGCTTTTTCATCCATACTGTTAGGATCTTGCCATTTAAAGTTCATCAAAGGTAGAGGCTGAACCATTGCCCACCCATATAAATTATTTTTATCAAAGTACATGATGTACTTACTCGGAAGGGTAGGATCATAATCACTTAAATATTTGTTATTGGCTCTACTATACCTCTTTGATATCATTGATACCCCACCTCTGATACCTTTTTCTAGAAACAAATGCATCGTTGGATCTGTCAAAAGTTCCATCTTCACCTGTGTCATACGTAAGCAAGCCTGCCAAGCTAGACCAGGTGCCGTAAACATATGACACGGATCTAATTTGTAAAAGTCCATGCAGAGCTCTCGGAAATTTTCAAACACATCAGCAAGAAGTAAACAGTCCGTTTTTAAATAAAGATCGTGATATTCACCGAGATTCTGAAGTTTAAACACTTTCCACACCATCTGAGCATGCTGGTAGTCAGACTCGGATAATTCTTCTTTGGTGATATTTGAGAAAAAGGCTTCTCTAGGGGGTAAATGAGTTTCATTAAACTTTTTAAAGCTATCCATATATTCATATGGATAAACACCTTTTCTGAGAAGCAATGGGATTTTGTCGTTTTGAAAATGTTCTCGTATTATTACAAATTTTTGTGGAGACAAATTTTCAACAAGTTTCTGCAAAGATGTGGGCAGGAACTGGAGGGAATCTAAAAACTGTAGCTGTCCTATAGAAAAAGAAATGTATTTCTCCATGTTGTTTGCAATGCAATTAATACGTTTTCCTTTTAATTTTCCTAGTTCTTGAACTATTAAATGACTATCATAACCACGAAGATTATGAAATATAACAGGAATCTTCCAACTTAATTGATAATTTAAATTACAAGCAGAGTGTGCTGCACCCCTGTAATTATTTGTTTTTTGTAGGTCGTGATCTCTTACACGATCCCTATGACAGTTAACAGCGTTTTGAAATTCTTGCTCCTGTTCCTTACTCATATCTATTTTTTCTATTTTTCTCAGAGTTTTCGAAATTGTTTCCGCTTCAGCTAATAAAGACTCTAGAAAATTACTGACAGCATTTTCTCCCCGATATATTTTTGGAGATTGAATACTTTTACCGTTTGGACCTACGATAAGATAACTATACCCACAGGGGACATGTTTTGAAATAATATTCGTACTCGATGCTTCTGGATTATTTAAGCAACCACTAACTTTGGGTAATATACATTCGAAATCAGCATATATAACATACGGTATCCTAAGCTGAAATTTAAAATTGTCAAAAGTTAACCACTTATTTTTCCCATCAGGCATTTTAATTTTTTGAGGACCAAAATCTGAACAATATTGTACGTGATCTTTTAGTAAATCTTCCCGCGAATATCTGTGCAGGCAATAATTACAATAAAAACTCTTCCCATTATGTTTTGATAAACTGCTAAGCAATCTACTGACATTTTTTATTAAACAGTAATGAGATTTTTCACCTTCTGTTATATATAAAAGATTAACATGGGTGGTATACCTTTGCTTTGTAATGTGAAGCGGAAATATTTCTTTATCATACCCGAAAACGTTAATTGAAATTTCATTCAATGTTTCAAACTTTGGAATTTTATCCACTGCTACGGGAAAAGAAAGAGTGTCACAATTCAGTTCATGCTCATACGGTAAGTATTTTCCAACCCTTGACGCATTCTCCTTCTGAGGATGAAGAGCGGCAAGGATACACCAAAGGAAACATTTGTTATCTTCATTTACAATATTTAGAATAGACTTTGTATTTTCTAGTCTCTGAGGCAAATGCAGAAATGATGAACCACTAAGAGGAACATAACTTGCTACTTTTAACTCGAGTCTTTTTACTTTGTCTAAGATCCACCCACTTCCCCTCTTTCCAAGAATTCGTCATAAGACGACATAATTTTTCTTACGGCTACGGAGAGATTATCATCAAAGTTCTCATCCAGATTTAACATACACGCACTTCTAAAATGGGCTGTAGTTGTTTCTATTTCTTGTTCGGTTACAAACCTTATGAATTTCGCACTAACAACGTAGTACAATTTAATACCTCTATTAAGTGTTAAATATTCTTGTAAGCGTTCGCGTACGCTATCTTGAACAGTTGAAAAAAAAAAAACGGTGAGATCTTCATCGGATCCATCCTCTGGTAAAATGATATATTGTTTGAAGGAGTTAAGAGCTTCTTCACAATCAGGAAAAGTTTTCTTTAATTTCTTGGCTGGGGGTAGAGATGCTTGTATATGGGAGTTTGCTCCTGAAGTTGACGGTCTTTTCAGGCACTTTGTTTCATGGTGCTTGGCAGCATACCGACGAGCAAATCCCTTTCCACAATGGCCACATTTAATATCTTTTGCATTCTCGGAGTGTAGCCTCTCATGTCTCAACATGTTCTTTCGAGCCGAAAAGGATTTTGGGCAAGTTTTACATTTCCACTACAAAAGGAAACAAAATTTCCAAAATTAGTCTTATTAACCTCTAAAGTGTTTGTGAAAAATTACTAAATCATAAAAAATATGTTCTACGACCCCCCTTTTTTTTTAACAAAACTAATAGTAACTGAATTTGTTGTATGCATCATTTATTTTAAACATTTTATTTTTAGATATTTTTGTTCATCTCATAATATAAAGTACCTGGAAATGTAGTTCTGAAAATTTAGTTTTAGTAAAATTTAATTCAGAAATTTAGGGAAGAAGCCTCTGGAAATTTATACTAGTTTATACTAGTATTATAAAAGACAACCTCAATTGAGATTTTTTAACACAGAACTTTAACCCATAAACATAATAATAACAAAAATTATGTTCTAATAAGAATATATATATAATAAATAATACATCAATAAGCAATCGCCGATTGACTCATAAACACACTTCATAATTTTATCCTTTTAAAATGTAATGAATGAAAAAGCTATTTTGTTACACAATAAAAACAAGAAACAAGCATAAAAGCTCTCATTGTTTTAATTGGTTTCCTTATAATTACACAATTACTTAATGGGATGTTAGCATTCCTAATCACTGTCTATTTTTCACATAAATCAATATAAATGCTAAAGAGAAAGATACATAGACGTTCATTCAGCACAGAAACAGTTCTCGAAGTTATCAGTATTAAACATGATCAAAACCAAGTTAGAAAAAGCAGAATTATCACCCCAAAAGATAGTATTTTGCTTTTTAATTCTTTCCCACCCCTAAAATTACATTCATTCTACTTCTTCATTAAAGATGCTATGAACATCAACAATAATTTAAAAAGGGACTTACGATTCCATTCCTTGCTTGATTTAAAGAAGAAGAAATGCTTCCGTTGATTTCATCATTTTTAACTTCGTCGTCAAAGTCAGAGACATCCGGTCTTGAAAAATAATTTGCCACTTCAGCGAATTCCATCAGGTTATCTGTTTCCTCCTCCGTTAATGGCCATGGTTCAGCATCAAACTATTAATTACCCAAATACAAACATTTTATTAAACCTGGATGTTAAGTTGCTACATTAATTTTTTTAATCGTTCATTCTAAAAATACAATAGAATTTTAGATAATGAAACTTTTATATTATTTAGAGATAATTAATTACTTAATACGATTCCATTAAAGAATTTTGATTATTTAATTGAATTAATCTTTCTAAAGTTAGAGAATTAAATAAAGAATTATAAAATTACTTACTTCTTTTATCGGATCCATCTTTCAACACCACTGCTCCCAACTATGACGCTATTCCAGATGATAATAAAGTCCCTTCGCATGGCCTATATATTGCTATATGCTGCTTTTATCGCAAACGGTAGACTAAGATAATAAATATTGGCATTATGATTACGCGTACTTTCTTAGACAGGTAGTAATCAATGTGATGCATGACGTGTTATCTTTTGCAAGCTTTGAAATGTACATATTAAACAGTTTTAGACCTTTATCTCAACTTTAACTTCTAATGGTGTGATCTCGTTCTTGTTCAGTATCTTACTTATTTAATATTAGTCTTATGATTACGCGTACTCTCCTGAACAACCTTAATCAATGGGGTACGTGACGTGTTATCTTTCCCAAACTTTGAAATGTACATATAAACAATTTCAACCCTTTATCTCAACTTTGAACTTCTAGTGGAGGAATCTCGTTCTTGGTCAGTATCTTACTTATCTAATATTAGTCTTATGATTACGCGTGCTATCTTAGACGGTAGTAATGGGGTACAGGACGTGTATCTTTCCCAAACTTTGGAATGTACATATAAACAATTTCAACCCTTTATCTCAACTTTGACGTGTAGTGGGGGGAATCTCGTTCTTGTTCAGTATCTTACTATCTAATATTAGTATTATGATGATTCGTACTATCTTGAATAATATTATTTATGGTAATTAACGTCATGTACTGAGTTATCTTCTGAAAGAGCTTTGAAATATATATTAATCACTTTCGATCCTTTATTTCAGCATTGATTTGTAGTAGAGTGATCTTGTTCTTGATCACGAAGTTTTATTTTAATTCTTCGAAAAACTTCTGTATTTTGCTATGAAAAGAACGCATGATGTTTGGGCACACAGTAGTGAACCCTGTCGCGAAAAATTTCGATGTATCGATGATACAGACACATCTAATATTTCTAATGAAGTTTTCCCTCCAGCACAAGATCCAGTTTGGAATTATGTGTTCGAATTTAAAGAACAATCCCCTGAATTAGAAACTATTTCAACTCCTCCACAGCCTGATCTTCCTGATGAATATATACTGTTGGGTGATAACTTGTTACTCGGTGTAGCTGAATTCTGTGAACGTTTGAAAATTCATCTTCGACATTATATTGTGAAGGACGGGAAATACATCCCTACGAAAGCGGGAATAGCAATGCCCCGTATCGCTGGCAATTACTTTCCGAGAGAATCCATGAATTTGAATTCCGAGAGAATCTCCAAGCGCAGCTATGTCTTTCAACAATATGTGTTCGCGATCGTGTGATGGATGTGAATTTCCAATATGTTTTCGTAAATTCAAACGGAAACCTACAGTTAAGCAATACTTCATTAAAAATATCAGCTGAACAGTTTCGTGAGCTGCTAAAAAATAACGAAAAAATATCTATGTGTTTACGAGAAAGAATTTTTGGAACTCCCTTTATAAAAGCAATACGTGAACAATTGGTGATTTGCGGAGAAACTGAAATTGGAGAAAACGTCTTGGAAATAGAAATAAATTTAAAGAAATCTCTTCTGAAATTGCTTGAGGAAAATGTGTCACGGCAAATGAATAAAATTCCAGTGTTTTGTGATGCATGTGAGAGTGAAGAATTGGTGGATAATCAACTTGGCCACACGTGTGGAGAACAAAAACTGAAAAACTTTGATAAAGCTGTTGCACTTTTAAATATTCAAGATCTAGCCGCTGATTTCGTAAGATGCAATGAAAAATTTTATGCTTATATGAATGACTCTTTTGTGCACAATTTAAATGCAGTTAGAACTTTTTGATTTATGTAAATTCCATTTAACATTGACAAATCTGTAAACGTAAGTAAATTTCTGCATAAATATGCAATAAATATGCACATTCTTTTATTATTATTATTATTGTAATGGCTATCTAGAGTTATGTTTTATTTTATTTGTTTTAAAGGCTAAAAAATACTTTTACTAAATTATTTGTCACGGTAATGATTTTCACATAGTTTGTTTCATTAGTGTTGATCTTAGAAAATTAAAATTATATTTATATTTATACAATATATTGATTGGTTATTTAAAAATATGTACTTTTAACTTTTCTTAACGTTATAAACAATCGCTTCGAGAAATTTCTATCATTTATGCATGTAGTGTGAAAGTGAATGTGTTCATTTTGTAAAAGTGAGAAAAATTATGGATAGTATTATAGAAACTTATAAAGATCCCAGAAAACCGGAAAGTTTTGGTGGAATTAATGCGTTGTACCGTATCGGGGAAAAGAAAGTTTCAAAAAGTAAAATCGGGAAATGGCTGGAAAGTAATGACGCGTACACGCTTCATAAACCTGTGAAAAAAACGTTTAAAAGAAATCGTGTCATTGTTGGTCATATAGATCAACAATGGCAAGCAGACTTAGTAGATCTCAGCAATTTAGCAAAGCATAATAATGGTTTTAAATATTTATTAACATGTGTTGATATCTTATCGAAATATGCATGGGCAACACCTCTGAAAAATAAAACTAGTAAAAGCATTATAAATGCCTTTAAAAAAATATTTTCTGAACGCAAACCGAAATTTTTACAAACAGATAAAGGGAAGGAATTTCTAAACATAAATTTTCAAAATTATTTAAAAAGTCTGAAAATTCTGTTCTTTACTACACACAGTGAACTGAAAGCGAGTGTTGTTGAGCGATTTAATCGCACCCTTAAAACAAAGATGTGGAAATATTTCACACAATTCAATACACGTAAGTATATTGATGTTTTAGACGACTTAATGCATAGTTACAATCATTCTGTACATAGAAGTATTAAAATGAAACCAGTATCTGTAACGAAAGAAAATGAAAAGTTAGCATGGAAAAATTTATATGGACGTATTGAAAATCCTAAGTCACCTCGTCTTAAGGTAGGGGATATTGTAAGAATAAGCAAACAGAAAATGAAATTCGAAAAAGGTTATGAGCAAAACTGGTCTCGAGAATTATTTAGCATTTATGAAGTATTAGAACGCGAGATTCCTGTTTATAAATTAAAAGATTTATCGAATGAGATCATTAAAGGTTCATTTTATGAGCAGGAATTACAGAAAGTGAATGATAGCGGGTATTACCTTGTTGAAAATGTTTTGAAAAAACGGAATATTTTGTAAAATTTGAAGGGTATCCTAAAACATTTATCGCCTGGGTCTCTGATGTGAAATACACTTTTAATAATTAGTTGGAATCATGTCTTTCTATATGACACTCGTAAGCGATTCTTCTCTACACTACTTCCCTGAAAATAAAATTTCTCATTTCATTACGCAGTTACCATCTAGTATAAATCTCAATGGAGAGTTCGAGGTAGGCATTTCCGAAATAATTTACCCCATTCGTGGCACAACATAAACGAAAACAACAATTTATTTGGCTTCGACTTGGGGGATGGGAAAACTATTTCAAGACGCATTCCTGCAGGTTATTATGAAACCATTCCAGATTTAATTAAAGCTATCATGATTCCCGATCTAAGAGGTAAAGTTGAATTCAATTACAACAGTGTGACGAAGCGTGTAAGAGTAAAAACATTAAAAAATACTAAAATAATTTTGACAAAAGGAATCAGTGAAATTTTAGGATTTGAACCGACAGAAATTCAAGGCGTGGCTGATAGTCCGTACGTAGCCGATCCACATGCGTCCTTTCCAGTTATTTATGTATATTCAGATATCGTAGAACCACAACTCGTAGGTGATACTCAAGCACCTCTACTAAGAATAGTGAAAGTTAATGGTAAAGATGGAGAAAAGGTAAGTGCTCATTATGAACGTCCGCAGTATGTTCCCGTGATTCGCCAACATTTTCAGACAGTGGAAGTAGAACTTCGATTTAACTCAGGGCAGCTAGTACCATTCGAAAGAGGCAAAGTGTGGCTTGTTTTGCATTTCAGAATAAAACAAATTTTATAAGTATAAACACATGACGCAAAAATTGACATTCACATCTCAGACTTCAAAGAAGATGTATGTTCCATACAACTGTTGCGCAAAAGCTTATGAAGACTTTTATACTACGCAAGTAGGATCTGGGCTTCCTTATTATCAAGGAACTTCTTTTCAAAAAGGGTATGGATTTGGAGGATTTTTTAGACGATTGTTTCGTACTGCGATGCCGTTCTTTATCAAAGGCGCGAAAACAGTAGGGAAAGAAGCTTTGCGAACCGGAACACATATTGCGAGCGCGATGTGTTATCGGGGAAAGATTTTGAAACCTCAGCTAAAGAAAGAACTCGGGAAGCGAGCAAAACGCTAGCTCAAAGAGCTATAAGAAAAGCGCATGACATGTTAGGCAGCGGAAAAACGCAAAAAGAAAGCGGAAAATGCCAAAACGTATCATTTCTTCGAAAGCTAGGAAGGTGAAAGGACGTGATATTTTTTGATCCGTAATTATGACATTTGTATTGAAAGACTCACCCGAATGCGTCAAATCGGAACTGAATCTATTTCTGACGCCTCCTACTCAAACAGTAGTTGAAAGGGGGCAATGGGTTCAATTTCATCCGTTAGCAAATGTTAGCGATGGGGGTCCTATCGAATTTCACATTTCTGGAGGGGAAGATTATTTAGATCTATCAGAAACTTACCTGTATGTAAAAGCAAAAATTCTCAACTCGGATGGTTCACACCTGCAAAAAGATGCCAAAGTTGGACCAGTTAATTTATTTCTGCACTCTTTATTTTCTCAAATCGATATGAAATTAAATGAAAGGCTGATAACGTCTTCAGATAATACATATCCATATCGAGCACTTATAGAAACGTTACTAAATCATGGTTATGATACTAAAGTATCGCAATTAACTTCGGAATTATTTTATAAAGATACACCAGGCCATATGAACATTGATGGAAATGAAGGATTTAATAAACGAGCTGAATTTTTTAAACTAAGTGCTACTCTAGATATGATAGGCAGACTGCATCTGGATTTATTTCATCAAGAACGCTTATTACTGAATTTAGTGGATGTCAAATTAAAACTTATTCGCAGTAAACCAGAATTTTGCTTAATGGCGGAAAATGGTGACTACAAAGTCGCACTTGAACACGTTTCACTTTTCGTGCGTAAAGTTCATGTTAGTCCAGCTGTTTCACTAGGACATGCTAAAGCTTTGGAAAAAGGTTCTGCAAAATATCCCATTCAAAGAGTTCTATGCAAAGTATTTTCCATTCCTCCCTCAAGGCAATATGTCTTTTTGTTCAAGATAATGTATTTGTGGGTCAGATGCCCAAACGTATCATTGTGGCTTGTTTAGATAACGATGCCTTAAACGGAAATTATAAAAATCGCCTTTCGAATTTAAGCATTACCATATGAATTTTATAGGGGTTTACGTGGATGGGCAGCCTTTACCTTATAATCCAGTTGAGCCTAATTTTGATCAGAACAATTATATTAGAGCATTCCAGAAGTTTATTTCTTGGAACTAACAGAGAAGACCGAGGAATTGATATATCCAGAGAAGATTATGCCAAAGGATACACATTATTTGCATTCGATTTAAGTCCAGATTTATGTGATGGAGAGCATTTTAATCTTATTCGTCACAGCAATTTAAGACTTGAAGTGAAATTTTGGTGTTGCTTTGGAACAGACAATATCAGTTCTCGTTTATGCGGAGTTCGAAAGTGTTCTTGAAATAAATAAGTCAAGGACTGTTTTGTCAGACTTTTAAATGTATGCTTCGGTTATTCAAAACATTTTATCTCAGGACTCACAGACAGCTCCTTTTTTCCAAGGTGTGTTTCCAGCTGATCGCTTACCTATTTATTATCCATGCTACTCCATCTTGTTTTGTTATGAATACAGATCCTTAAGATAAACCTGGGCAGCATTGGGTTGCCTGGTTCATCGAGAACAAATCAACAGCCGAATTCTTCGATTCATATGGAATGCCTCCATCTGTTTATGGTTTTCAAATCAGTAATGTGAAATGGAATAATGTTCCTTTCCAGAGTGTTACTTCAAATGTATGTGGACATTATTGCATCTATTTTCTGCTTAAACGATGTCAAGGACAATCAATGGAACGTATTATTTCTGATTTATATCTCAATGTAAAAACAATGATTTTAGACTATTTCAATTTGTTAAAAAAGATATGGTGTAACAATGAGTTTTAAAAAATAAATTCAATTAATAGCAAAAATGATCTATGTTTTATTCTGCAAATCAGATTCGTAGGTATAAATTTATATATCAGATTATCATATTATATTATGAATGATTTTTTGTTCTTCTTTATCATCTCAACTTAGAAATGTTTCCTGTTTTTATTCTGTTTGTTTCATGAACATAGCATCTTCTTCTCCCGGGTAGCTATAAAAGTGAAATGATATGCTGCTTCTACTTCATTCTAACTGGGATAATTTATATTAACAGACGTTTCTTTTTACTATTTCTTTACTTACCCAACAATTTCAAGAATCATTTTAACAAAGTGTATTTTCAGAATTGTACATCTCATAAATTCTGCTAAATATTTTACTCTGAAAGCTTAGAAGTACAAAATTTTTGTTATATATAATAGTTACAGCTCATTGAAATGATGTGTAAGGAAATTTTCATGATACATAAATACTGTGTACTTTTTCTCACCTTTTCTTATGCATTTGGAAGTATCGTGTTATATTTTATTCATTACCCATCAAATGGAAATGTTGGAAGTTTAGATGCCAATTTTAAAATCAATCAAACCTCTTTAAACCTGTATCACATTTATCAAAGTATAGACCATATTGGCTACATTAAATGTCAAAAATTCCATTATTTTAAAGAAACATTTCCAGACTGTGGTCATGATTTATGTAATTGTGTACAACAATCTTATGAAGTTTTTCATTACTACTGTTCTACCTACGCCAAAGGCATCGTGGATTCTAAGAGTGAATGTGATGTTGTAGCTAAAACATTTCTGGGGTGTAAGAAAATAATTTGCAGTGAAGAAAGATAACTCATTTATAAGTGATAAAAGAACTTTGATGCAGCATAAAATCTTGTATTTTAACATTTTGTACAAAATTAGAATTTTTAAAAAAATAAAATTGTGTTTTTTAAGAATATCTGTGTATTGAAAGAATAAGAAATCTAAATTTTACACTAATAAAATGTACATGTTGTTTTCTGACTGAAAGCTGTTCTCTTTTAAAATTCTAATTGCATTAACATGTTACATTCTTAGATAATAGAGCTTTTTTTTTAAATAAAGAGAAAAAAAATAATACCATTGAAAGTAAAAGGAAAAACATTTATTAGTACGTCAACCAGGTTACATTTCTGCGTGCTAACATCCGTTTTGGAAATACAGGAGACAATTTTCTGTTAACTTTTCGTTGCGGTAGTGAACGTTTTGGTAACAGGTATTTATTTTTGATGAAAGAAGTAGGTATACCAAGTTCAGTTAAAGTTCGATGAAATATATCTTGACCTTTAGGATGATTTTTATTATTTTCTAAAAGGTTGGCTACTAATTCTGCTATATGAGTGTTATGTATAGTATCTCCTCTGTATATTAATTCACCTTTCGCATTCCATGAGATTGTCGATGAATGATTTTTTACGAAATTCAGAATGTCTTCAGCAGTGCGTTTGAATTTTTCGGGCACATTTTGAAGTATAAGACGTTCCAAAGAATTGGTGTTATGCTTTACATTCACTTCAGTCTCAGCTACGGGTTTTATTATGGTTGCTTCTTTTTCCTCTTCTTTAGGTTTTACATCTGCGGGGAATGGGTAATGTACATATTTTTGCAAAATTTGAAGATAAATTGTGGCTTTTTCATTTTCTGATAAATCTTTTCTTCTCAAGGTTTTATCCATTTCTTTATCCATATCACTTAAATTGTCTCCAATGAACTTATTCAGTCTGTCTTCTGGTACAAGAACCATTTTTCTAGCGTGCTCCATGGATGAGTGTATTTAACACTGAAACTGCTGCTGGAATGAGGAAACTAAGAAATCCTTCTCCTTTTTGAACTAATACTCGTCTTTTTTTATATAAAGGTGTTTTCTTATCAGCAAGACTTCTTAAAATTCTTTTAAATGGTCTAAGTTTCTTTTTCCTAACACTACTTAAGGGTACATTACCTTTTAAAACATTTCTTGCACATTCG